ACACAAAACAAGCGAAGATTTTAGGGCGAGAAGATTCGCCCCCTCCGTTATGGTGGGTAAAATGCGGAGACCTTCTTCCGAGATCAAATCCGACAGGTTGGCCAAAGATTTGCATGACTTGTTGGACAAAGATGATCCAGGAAATCATTCGGACTCGGAAATAAGACCAACCGCGGGGTATACATTTAACGATCTCCCGAAGCGAGCCAAAAAATCTGCAATTAGAACAGGTTTCCACTCACCCGAAATGGCCTCGTCTCCTGGTCTCATACGCAAGGATAGGACGGACGTTCCACATAGAAGCGGAGATGCGTGGATAAAAGCGTCGCCAACGCGTGATTTAAAAAAAAAGATATCCAACATATTTAACCCCATGATAAATACGCTTTCCACCCCTACCACTCCGAAACTGGCCTCCGGAACACGTGCCCTGCCAGCTGCTGGATTCGGACTGAGCAAAATTATCCATGGAGATCACGATGACAAATTTAAAAAAAGGAAATCAGCTGACAAGAGATTCGATCCCAATTTTGTTCCTCTCGATTCTGACCTGAGTGAGGATTTATCTGATTTGGATTATCCCGTCGAAAATAAAAAAGGATCTATATCTGCTTCAGCTTCTTTTCTCACCTCCAAAATAAATCCGCGTAAATATAAAAAATCCTTATCTTTGACGATTCCTCAACAGAGTCCCAGTCAAGCAGAACATGGCGTCGACCATGATCTCCTTCCATTAGTAAGAAAAAATGATAATGACGTGAATAATGCTGAAACATCTCAAGATAAAGATGACGAAAAAACGCCTCTAATTCTGTCATTGCCAATCAAAACACACACCACTTTTACAAACGAACATCTGGAAGAGGCAACTGGTCCTAATCCGCCACTCCAAAAAAATCTGGGTTCCTCAGTTCAATCCCGTCAAGCCTTAAATAAGGGTTCTGTCTTACAATTGAGGTATGAACACCAACCAATCTCAATTAGTCCTGGGACTGCAACTTTCACACCTCCTTTACAGCCATCCACTAAAAAGTCAACAAATGACCTAACCGCGTCTGAAATAGTTGAACATCCTATTTTACCCATATCTCAAGACACTATTCAATCGCCTGAACATGATACAGATATTAAAGAGCTGCCAACTAATGAGGATAGAATTTATAATATTGACATCAGCTTAGGAGGCAAAGAGTTTTCTTTACCTCCTCTAAAAGACGATTAATTATATTGACGTGTCAGGGGATACTCAAGATATGATATATTGATTTATAAATTATAATAATGCAATTTTTTATGTAAATATCCTTTGAAAATAAAAGTTTTAAGTTCATATTTTTTTTTATATTTATGAATAATTGATAAAAGGGTTCGAACTATGAAAAGGGGATGTGGTTATCTTAGATGGAACATCGGATTCAGTAATAGTAAGTATAGCAATTTATATTGGAAATGAGGCATCTATTCAATGCGGATTATACGGTACTTTGATAATCCTTCAGGCCGGTACCACTGAATTGCAGGAATGGAGGAAAAAGTCATATTGATGAAGGAGTTACAGATGATATGGTGAGGAAACTGGCCCTTGTTAATTTACTGGAGGCAATAGTACGCTGGCTATCCTATCCGCACTTGAAATAATGAAGTGAGCTAGTGAAGTGAGCTAGTGAAGTGAATCGCGAACAAATATATGCCACTAAAATCTTGGTAGTAAATTACGTTTTATCGACCCTTGTTACGAAAAACTAAAAAATCCTTGTCAGTTGAGATCGAACAATACGGGTCCACAACCAAACGATAATGCCCACAACCAAACGATAATATTTTCAAATTCTGAGAGGTACCGCCTGTATTTGGAAGCAGGAGTATGATGTAATGCATTACAAATTGAGATTGAGATTTGTGAATGAAAGTCTATGCATAATTTTTTGCTTAGGAGAAAGGTGGATTGCAATGAGCTAATATCAAGAAATTTTGATTTATAAATCAGTATATCGAGATAAACATTCCTAAGATTCTATAAAAAGTCTTCAGTGTTCCCAGGCTCATTAGAACATTGAACAAGAAGCGAGCTGAATATATCCAAGCATCTGATTTTTCTAAGTTGGGGGTAGAGTTAGTTGATTCATGTAAACAATTTTTTTTATCGTGGGGAGGTTTAAAGGGCTTCCATTCTGGAAAAATTTCTGATGTATTCTTTGAACTATGAACTAAAAATTTAGGTTACACACACCGATTTAGGTTCAATCTCAGTTAAGCTTTTACAGCATTGGATGATGGTAAGATCAAACTACCGAATTGTAGTAAAGGATGGTACCACGTAGGTATTATATTAAAATTTAAGAAATATATTCTTAAATTTATCAAATTATTTGTTTAACATGCGAACGCGAGTTAAGTTTTTCGGGAAAGTATAAAGACGAAGCTGTCTTGTTGATGATGATACAGTAATTTGATATAGTATCATTGAGTTCTCTAAGACCAGTCACGTCAATAAAATAATTGTTTCTGCATCTACCATCTTTCCTTTAATTTAAAGAAATGAAGTCGAAAGGTGAGATGTAGTTTAAAAAAAATTTTTTTTGCTATATACACTCAATTAATACCATTGCCCTCTTAATGAAAAATAATTCAGCATTGAGATCGTGAACAAACTTATATGGTCTAATTTATTATATTGCACTGTATAGTATCTTTTTTGTGAGTTGTAATACAGCAATTTTTTTATAAGTTTAACATTTTATGATACTCACGTCTTTAGCAAGCAGATATGATTAAAATGTCGGCATTAATTTGAAGAAGAATGTCATCTATGTTATTACTTTTTGGCATCCCAAATTGGCAAATATTTTTTATAAAATCAATTTCATTTATAATTTCTCTAAATTTTTTTTTTTTAAAAATATTCAATCATCATAATTTGCAATAAATAATAATAAAAATCAAAATGTAAAGTTTTCCTCTTTAGAAAATATCACGGAGTCTCGTGATGAAAATTTGTGAAATTAAACTCTTATTATGGGGTACATTGGGGGGGGGAGCGAGTTTTTAACTAATGGTTTTGTTTAAGAAATTCTCCAAAAAGAAAATGAAATAAAATTTGACAAGTGACAGGAATGGTAGAGGGAGGCTGATAAATCATAGAAGTTAAGAGAACGATGGTGGGATAGGAGGAGAAAATTTAAGATTAAATTTAGATTTTGGAGAAGTAAAGATGATATATCGAAGGTTAGTAAAAAGGGGTTAATAAATCATAGAAGCAGGTAAAGATAGTGGGGAAAAAAAGATACAATTAGATTCGGGAAGCTAAAAATTTATTATTTCTTTTGAAAAATATAAATGGACGAGTAATTTTTTACAACGTTCTGGGATAATAAAAGAAAATAAATAAGGTAAGATTCATGTTGAATTTTTCTTTGGATAATGTATTGAGTTTAAATGATTATTTATTGTTAGGTTAAAAATTTTGTTTTTATCTTAATTATTGACAGTCAAAATTTTTGGAATGCTAGAATATTAAAGTAAGAAGTAAATTTTTTTTGTACCTATTGAGCTTAAATTGTTGGAGGTGTTTATTAAGAAAATAGAGGAATTTAGGGTTATAAGAGGGTTTAAGATTATTAGGTGTTTTATATATAACTTACAAAAGTATAGGATTTGCGACTATGAGAAAAATCTTGATTTTCGAACACGTGGAGAGCGCCCTTACATGCTTCTTTACAATGAAGAGAGCCGCAACCCCAGCTAGATAGAAGACCGAGGCATGGCCGACGAGGTGTAATTCCTGCGCTGCTTCGGGTGCGGAGAGTGGGATGTACGACTATGGTATCGCCGGGATAGTCCAGAGGAGAAAGCCGTTTGGGGTCAGCTGGGCCGGTGATGGTTGCGGTATACCGAAATCATTGCAAGAAAGGCTGCCTAATCAAAATGAAGGAAGATGGGGCTAGCCGACTCCTGAGAAATGTGGAATGCGGCCAGCAGCCAATATGACAAGAAATGCGATAGCTTTGGAGCTAAGTGAGACTGCCGGGACTGGGGAAGTGGCAACTTAGTCCCAGGAATTAGGAGGATGCTGATAAGACGGCCATGTGGCAGGAGTTGTAAAAGGATAACTGTAAAGTAAATGGAGATTAAAGACAAGGATGTTTAGGAAAACTTTAAGTTGTTGGTCTAGGAGATGTAGTTAACCTAATTAGAATTTTATTACGTTTTCTAATGATTTTATATATATGGATATTTATTATATATTTTATAATGTATGAGATGAATGTAAATATTTATATAAAAATTTTCTTATTTATCGCCATTTATTACGTTATTATATCATATGATTGAATTAAAATAGTAATCTTGTGATATAAATAACTTATAAAAATTAAATTATTAGTAATATTCAATAATACAGGACTATATATCAATAGATGTATTTCCTTTTTATCTCACAATAAATAGTTAAATCCCTTAATATAATTATTTTATAACAATAACAATGGCTTCAGTACTAAAAATTCATTATGTTAATAAAACTTATTTTTTATTATATTATCTAACTTATAAAAAAAACTAACCAACAAAATGATGTATATATATATATATATATGTATTATAAAAACAATTTAAACAAAAATAAGGTCACAGCTAAAATAATCGTAACATATTATTAAGTAAAGTTATATTCAAATAATAACAATTAAAGTTATATAAAATATCAATAGAAATTTAAATATATTAAAAAATCAATCTTAATTAACAACTCACTTAAACATTAAAGATTAATTTTACTGAATTACCTAAAAACGCATGGTGGAAGGACTATGTATAATAATAAAAACAAAGTCATTGGCCGATAAACTATTGTTAATATTATGATGTACATTATTATTTTGTGACATATGATATTCAATAATACCAAGGTATTATATAAATAAAAAAAATTTAAATATTATTAATCTTGATTGATCTAACAGTATTATAGTAAATGATTACTCTATATTTTTATAATTAGATTCATAATTTCATAAACACAATGGCATCCATTCATTCTACCTATTTTTTTTTGTCTCAAATTAGGGGAATAGCACGAGATTACAATCACAGCAAGTATGCTATATATCCATTTCAACAAAATTATAATTTATATATATTTTTCTAACTTTCAGATCAAATTAATTTTTTTTATTATTATTCAATCACATATGGATCCACATTAAATATTCTAAAGCTTACAAATAATAATCACTATCAAATAACCTTATATTACTTTGACAATAACATATAATAGGTTCTATTCTATATATTAGGGTGAAGGGAACAGGCAAAAAATTTGAAGGGGTTGTAAAGAATTTTTTTTAATACCATTAAAGGAATTTTTGAACAAGAAATTGAAAAATACAATAATTTTATTTGATAAATGATACATATAAAAATATTCAAATATGTTTATAAAATTAGACAGAAGATGAGAATTGACTTATAATAGCTTAAAGAAATAGATTGATTTAATGATTTTACAAGTATTATGTAATAAAGTTTAATTGTGCTTGTATAAACTTGTTATAGGATTCAATTATATAGTATATGTAAGTGAGAAAATATTTATAACCATATTACAATTGATATTGATCAATGAATGAGCAGTGTAAAACTAATAATAAAAATAAAGTGGTAATTTTGGTTTGAGATGTATCTTTAAATGCCCAGAAGGCCCTCACCTATATATATTAAAATTTTGAATTAATAATCTTATTTCATTATTTAAATTAAAAGGGCAATGATGGGAAAGATGGATGTGAAGCCATACTTTTGATTGCTAAGATTCCAGGAAAATACTTCAGTTAATTCAGCATTAAATGAATTAAGCCTTATTAGATTACATTATGATATTTCACCTAAATGTAATAATAATTTTTCTTAGTTAGGGAGGAAGACTTTATTTTTTAGAGGCTATTAAAATCATTTCAGGGCATCTTTTAGAAAATTATTCGCCTAAAAATATTATTGGAGATGGCAATTGTTTTTATCGTATAACAAGGAGGAACGTCTCTACATGAGAGTCCTGACATCAATAGAAATAAATATTAAAAGAATGAATGTATTATGATTAAGATGATAAATTTTACATTAGCAATGAAACAATAAGTGATGAAAGAATATCAACTTCTAACTACAATCAAATTTTAAAAGATGCATTAATGGTAATAGGGTGGGATCAAATGATGCATCAAGTGCTGCTGTGGGGGAAGCATTTCAATCCTACTGCCCGCCTTCTAATTGTGGAATATATAGCGCCTATACCTCACCACTATAATTATCCTGATGTCAAATTTTAATCCATATCATTTCTGTTTACAATCATTACTATCGAGTGCCCCAATATTGTTAGTCATTTGTTGCTTAGAATTGAGGATGCGCCATACATATTTTCCATTAGTTCAGAATAATTCCAAACATATCTTTTCAACTCCAATCGAATATCCACCTTTTATTAGCTATTTATCAACTATTTTATCTATTAATGATGATTTACTATTCGATTCTCCAATTTCAGTTGACAATGAGTAACATATAGATACCGGTTTAAAGATTTATTTTATATATATATATATTTTTTACCTTTAAATATAATGTGGTTATCTTAATCATGATCTATACAAGGAATAACTGTGAATGTTAAATAATGTGTTAAAAATTAAAATTTAACATTCTACTACATCTGTACATATAATGGAGATTTCGAAAGAGCCTATCTTGGTATGGGTAATTATTATTTAACAAAATAATATGACGCGACAAAGATTCGTCATAAATGGGACCAAATGTGAGTGATGATCAACATAAAAAAAATATTATTAAATGTATACTTAAATCCACATGGTATAAATAAACAAAAAAAAATTACTTCTACATGTGGTGGATTAACGTGAATTGAATTCAACCTAAAGGATCGAAAAAAAACATTTTAATCTAAAAGATCTAGATTAGATAGGACTTAAACCCAGTCTCTATAGTTCCTTTATAAAAATTAAACCAATAGGCACTAATTTATTTCAGATTTAATTTATCCAAAGGCCCTTTTCATGGTCATTTAAACCAACAAATTATATTTCTTTAACGATAAACTTAACAACAACAAGTATTCCGATATCTTCGATATTTAACGATAAACTTAAAACAATTATTTCAATATCACCGATCAACATTACTGGATGTCTATACCTACAAATCTGACGCAAATAAAGAATAATTGCGCTAAAAAGAATCGGTAGTAGAATAAGAATATGTAAATCTGGTTGCGCTAAAACGAATAAGTAATAGGATAAGAATATGTAAGTCTGGTTTCGTTTGCTTTAGAATAATTAATAACGATATCTCCAAATATTAATAAAAATGCGATTAAATTAATTCTTTTATTAGTGTTTAAATATAACGCAAATATATATATATCAAGTCGTTAAAAAAGTAATTTTTATTAACAAGTAAAATTATGGGGTTCTTTGAAAGTCAAAAACTTCAAATATATATATATATCTAGTAAATCAATTTAAGGTAAATCAATTGATGGTTTGAGGCTTCGTATGTAGAAATAAAATAATATATTATTTAGTGAATGTTTTTGTATTGTAAATAGTCATAGTTTAAAGCTTCAATTAACTTTGTATATTATGATATTAAATTATATTATGCAACAAAATCAACTCCTAATTATAATCCCCTTCGTTGTCTTTATATCTTAATCTTTTTTGTATCTTTAAAAATATATTTCACTTAAATTTGTAGGAAAAGAAATACATGAACGCTCAACCCGCCAACAATTCTCATTAGATATTAATCCACGTTAAAAGCCCAAGTCATTATGTCTCAGAGAGTGTTTCTCCTTTTAGTAACAAATGGAAATTCGAACAAATACACATACCTTATCGCATCTCTAATCTTTACTTTTATAAATTATTGATATTAAATTCATCGAAATCTCTTTTTTATACATTATTTTTTAAATAGTCGCCAAAACGAACGTATCATTTTATTTACAAATAAAATATACCGCCATTTATAATATTATCGCAATCCCTTATCTAAAAGAATATTCTCAAAAAAATATCAATATGAGGGGCTTGTCTATCCTATTGTGCTTGCTAATAAATAATTTAAATTAATCTTACTAAATAATAACAATTGACATTTTATACAAATTAAATCAATTATATTTTATTCCCCTAAATAAAAATGAAAAATCTTTATATATCTTTATGCTAGGGTGTAAAATAATCTTTTACAAATATTATATTTTCGATAAAATATTTTTTGCGATATCTTATTTATAGAATGATATAGGCAAAAATAGTATTGTCAAATGGCTCGTTTTGAGCCGATTTTTAAAAACGGCTAACTCAATATTTCATCCAGAATAATATTACGCTAGCCTGAAGATTTTCTCTGTAAAAGGAACAAAGGTTTGGATATCTATTAGCGAAACCTTGAGGCTTAGGCTTTCTGGCTAAAATACTGAATCAGCCGTTTTATAAATGTGCTCAAAATGAGCCGTTTAACAATACTAGGCAAAAATTATTTAAAAAAATTAATTTAACATAATTTAACCATTAAAATGTGATCATTCCTATTTTATAAAAACCCATATTTGTTCACGCAATTTACTCGTAAATTTGTTCGAATCAATTTTTGATTGATTGATAGTCAATGGATATCTAGCTTACTTTTTAAGTATTAATACAATATGATTTGAAAATATATTTAAACAACAAAATAAAAATTTTTTAAATAAACTTTTCATAAAATAATAACACGCCACCTAGCGGATTTAATATTATTGAAATTTCAAAATGTAGTTATTATTATATTATTGAAGAAAGAAAGAAGGAAGACGTCCTGGAACACTAAAATAAAGAAATATTAAAATGTTCATTTATTTACTTTATCAATCTACTATTTATATATTTTTTACAAACTAAAATTAGAATATAATATTAAAAAGGTCAACATACAAAATAAAAGTATAAGAAAAATAAAAATATAACTAAAATAAAAATATAATTTGAATAAACAGAATTAAATGAATGTGCGTTACATTATAAACATATAATATTTTTTATTAACCAAAATATATAATATATTAATTTTTATAATATAACATTCTTCCTCTTTAAAAAGCCTTCTCATAAGTTTATCTAAGCAGTCATAGAGAGTTTGTTGTCCAAATGGTTTATCGTTTTGGTTGTCAATGTTGCATCAGTCACATCTTAATTTTGTTTAAATCGTAAGCTTGATTTTGATATCCTTATCGAAAGTTGTCTCCATAATCATGATTTTGTCATATAGCTTGCTTTGTAGTACTCAGTTGTTATTATTATTTTTCAAAATTGTTATTATCATCAGTAAATTGCGAATAATGAGAAATAATAATTCATCAAGTTGGATATAAAAATAAGTGAAGAATGATAAATCAATAAGATTGTTATATAATATTTTTAGCGTTTTAATTTTTCGCGTTTTAGTGTCCAATTTATTTTTTCGCGTTTTAGTGTTTAATTAATTTTTTGCGTTTTAATATTTAACTTATTTTTATTTATATATTAATATTTTCAATCCACGAGGTTAAAATATGCAAATAAAATATTATTCACATTTCCCTCTCTTTAAAAAAATTTTAATTTCACACCCTAGTTTTAATTCAAAATGTGTATTTTTAAATAATAATTCTTCATAAGATAATGTTTAGAAAATGATCTCCTCATCACATCATTTAACTATTTACCTAAAATGAAAATGTTACATAACCTCTTGTCTTCAAAGCTTTAAATTTCAAAAACTTTTTTATCATATTAAATATTACTTATAAGAGTATATTAATTTTATAATTTTTTAAATCAATCATAAATTTTTATCTTTTAATTCATATGTTTCAATTACATTTTGATATAGACTTAAAATTATAGTTTTATCTTCTTGTTTAGGATTTTTAATGGTTTAAATTTGTAATATTTTTAATTATATCTAAGAATTCATCTTTAGGTAATTTAGTTAATTTCCACAATTGGTCATCAAAAATATGAAAAATATCAATAAGCATTTCACTAAGAAATTCAACTGTTAATTCATTATTAAGTAAATATTATTTAAAGGTAATTCAGTTAATTTCCACAATTGGTCATAATTCAAGAAATCAAAAATATGAAAAATATCAATAGGCATTTTACTAAGAAATTCAACTGTTAATTCATTAATAAGTAAATATTTTTTAAGGCTTTTTATGTATTCAAATATGTCCATTATGATTGATTTACATTTAAGTTATTTTAATAAGTTCATTTACAACATGCCTTTATCTTGGCATAAAATTTTAATTTATAATAACTTTTCTTCTTACGTGGATTTAGAATTATTAGTAAATTATCATTGGTCTCACTATATAAAATTCATAGCCTATCGTTCAACTTCCATATCAGTTCTTTCTAGGTCGACACATTAGGTTAGGTGTTAGTCATCATATTCCAGTCCACCATCCAGAGCCGGTGCACCATGAAGAAAGAAGCTTTTGGCATGAAAGAACGTGCTAGGGAATTTTTTTGGTTCTTGGTCGTCTCCTTAGCTTAGGCATTGGTCATCTCATAGATTAGGCATTGGTCATCTCATTAGATTAGGCATTGGACATCTCATTAGATTAGGCATTGTTCATTTCATTAGATTAGGCATTGGTCATCTTATTCAAGTCCACCACCCAGAGCCGGGGCACCATGAAGAAAGAAATAAGGAAGACGTCCTCGGTACACTAAAATAAAGAAATATTAAAATGTTCATTTATTTACTTTATCAATCTACTATTTATATATTTTTTACAAACTAAAATTAGAATATAATATTAAAAAGGTTAACATATAAAATAAAAGTATAACTAAAATAAAAATATAATTTGAATAAGTTATTAATTAAATGAATGCGCGATTTGAATAAACAGAATTAAATGAATGTGCGATACATTATAAACATATACTATTTATTAACCAAAATATATAATATATTTATTTCTATAATATAACAATTATATTTAAATGATATTTAAACTTATTTATTATGAGCTAAAATGAAATACAATTATTAATGTATATTCATTTATATTCACTACAAAATTATCCCAAACAATTTTAGCGATTAATTCGCTATAAAATATATCCAAATTTTTTTTTAGATATTTAATGTGAATATCCATTTGTGATTGAATAATTAAATTATATTAAGTTAAGTTTATATAGTAGCTTACTTGCTATTAGTGTTATTAAACAGCTGGTTTTTAGCCGATTTTTAAAATATTTTAGTCAGTGAAATATTGTCTAAGCCTCAAGATTTCGAAAATATATGTCTAGACATTTGTTCCTTCTATTAGCAAAATCTTCAGTCTTGGGTAATATTTTTCTGGATGAAGGAGTTAGCCGTTTAACAACACTTCATGATTGTAATCATCCAATAAAATGAGGTAAAAAAAAATAAATAGGTAAATGAATGAATGCCATAGTGTTTATGAAAATATGATTCTAATTATATAAATATAAATTAATCATATACTATAATACTGTTAGATAAATAATATTTAATTTTCTTTTTTTATTTAAATAGTCACTTGGTATTATTGAATATCACAACTTACTGGATAATGACTTTGTTTTAAATATTATACATGGCCCTTCCACCATACGTATTGATAGTAATTCAGTTTTCATTTAAAATGAACCTCTAATGTTTTAAGTGAGTAAATTCTCATAAATATGTTTATATATATATATATAACTTTCCTAAATTATTATATTTTTATTATAATAATATTTTTTATATAGTAAACGCCAACTTGCGGATTTAATATTATCAAAATTTAAAATGTAATTATTATTAATATTTTTAATGTAATTATATTAAATGATTTTAAACTAACTATTGTGGGATAAAAATTGAAATACAGGTATTAATACATATTCTTTTATTATCGAATATTATTTAATAATTAATATTTTTAAATTATTTATTGTTGTAATAACTTGTTTTTATTTGTATGTAATTAAATATTCATTTTTATAAGTTGTAAATGATATGATAAATTTTGTAAAGATAAATCAAAATGATTTGTAAATTTTTTCAAAGATAAATTAATAGAATATTTGAGGTTTTACTTTGGCATCCTACACTTGCGAGGCTTTAATAAAATGGTAAATAATGTTAAAGGATGATATGAATTTTGTAAGGATAAATCAAAATGATCTGTAAATTTTTTCAAAGATAAATTAAAAGAATATTTGATTTTACTTTGGCATCCTACAAAAAATAATATTTTTGAAGGCAGATTGTATCTATAATATATTAATATAAAATTTATCTATAATTAATATACTCGTTCATTCTTTGGACATAGTAAATAAATTGTTCTTAACAATCCAGCGTCCAAGGCATGGTTTATTTGTGCATGTAAAGTAAGCAGTAAAGCTATTATAGTCTTTATGCTTTTTAAAGTGATTAGGCATAGCCATCTGAAACAGGTATTAGTGGAATATTTTTCCTTAACTAAGTTTATATCTTAATTTCAAATAATATAGTCAAAGTATAATATTATTACAAATACTTTTAAAGTAATAATACTTTATTGAATGTATGATATACCTTAATTTTATTTAAGATAATATTTGAAATATTAGTATTGGAGAATATGTACAATATTTCCTATAGACTGAATGAAGTATTGAAAGGTATCTACTAAAATTTAATATTATAATAGAAAACAAAATATCATAATAATACATATCAGATTTGGTCTGGGTAGGATATGACCCTTTTGATTGATATTAGAATATGCACCTTTATATACTATATAAATATAATTATGTAATTAGTTTAAAAAAAATTGGTTACCTTTATACTTCCTATTTATATAAACTCAAAGTATTATGCTGGGTTGATTATTGAAAAATGGTATTTAGCTTGTAAATCCAATTTCACATTTTTTCACCTTTTCGTAAAGCGACAAAACGTATAAAGTTAATAATTCGAGACTACGAGACGATACGAATGATATGACACCATTTTATTGCTGTTAAATAAAGGCGTTCATAAATTTGAATAGAATTTTATTAAATTTAGCATTCAGAACTCCATCTTATTTTTTATTTATTCATGT